CATGAACTCACATGGATAATTCTATTTATTGAAAGGTAGGATCTAAGGATATAGTTGAAATATTCTTTTTCAATATCATTCTTAAGAATCTAAATTTTGCATTGAAATTGAGTTTGAATCTTGCCATTGGAAGATTTAGAGGATTTGGGTTGTTTCAGATTTCTCTTTCAGTAGGAATACTCAAGTGGTTCTAGTGTGATCGTCAACGAATGAGAAAAATCATCCAACCCCACTCAGGGATCTTATTTTTGAAGGTTCCAAAATATTACTGTGGATAATAGAAATAAGATGTGTGGGTTTGTACTGGGTCATGGGATAAACATTTCTAGTATATTTGAAGAGTTGACAAATCTCACATTAATAAGTACTAGGTTTTTTATTGATACAAATAAGGATACAACTTTACAACATACTCGAAATTAGGATGATCCTGACGACAAGTTCATAACACGACTTTTTTTTAGCAGACATCGACTCAACGTACTCATAGATTTGAGTGAAAAATAGTAGTGAAATCACTTGTGTGTTTAGAGAGATATTTCTTGAGGAGGTACAAACCTGATGCATTTCAATACTGTTAATCATCTTCTCTGAATGCACCGCCTCAAATTTATAAAAAATTGCAAAGAATTTAGTTATACATTTCATATCATAAGTAAGTTTATTAATTAAAATTAAATTACAATCCAACTGTGGAACATATAAAATATAAAAAAGAATGGTATCCCGAGAGAGTTTCAAATCTCCTTTTCCAGAAATTTTTGAGTTTGATCCATCTGCAAGTTTGGCGGATTTAGATTTAGAAGTCTCTTGATAGCTGACTAGAGCATTAATGTCTCCACTCATATGATTAGAAGCTCATGAATCTATGATCCAATGTCTAAATCTCTCATTGATTGCAAGATTAGAGAATAATATATTACCTTAGTGTGCCATGAGGTTGGTTTGTTGTTATGAATTACCCGAAGGAGCTTTTTTAGTACTTAAAGCTGCTTATTGGTGAATGGGTCAACTGACCCTTAATATGTGGTATTATCAATAGCCTTGTTCACTTGATCTTTCATTCAATGTCTAGGTTTTCAATATGCAGACTTTTCATTGAGTCTCCAACATTTGTCTGTCATGTGCCCAATTTTCTTGCAATAATCACATATGAGACAATTCTTCTTGAACTTTGAGTCATGAGAAAAAATATAGGTGTACAGAGTTGAGCTTTTAACACTTTGTGAACTCCCATTTCCAGTCACCATAAGTTTCTTTTTGTTCTCTTCTCTTCTAACTTCAGCAAAATCTTCACGGGTAGTTAGAAGAGGCTTTATTGCCATAATCATTCCTCTCACTTTATCTGATTTTTTGGTTAGCCCCACTAGAAATTTGATAGTTTTCTTTTTCTTGATGATCAATTTATACATCACGGTATCATGTGGATATTTCCACGCATATGTTTCAAGCATATCCAATTGCAGCCAATATTTTGTCACTGTGTTGAAACATTGGGTGACACTCAGCTTTTATTGATGAAGATCATGCAGTTTGTTTTCGATCTCAAACAATTCAACAATATTCTTAATGCTGGAATAGGTTTCAGCCTCCCAGTTTTTTTCTGGCTTTATAGAATAAGAAATTTTTTCCTACTTTAGTGGCCTTTGAGTTGACTAGCAAAGACATAATCATATGATCTTGAATCTCTTATGTACAATGGTTAGGACCAATGAGCTCAAGAACTGTGCTCTCTCCCATTAGATGTCCTCCGTTTCCTTTTCCAAAAATGTACATAGACACGGATTGAGACCATTATATGAAGTTATGACCATTGAATTTATGGTTTGTGATAAAGAAACAGAGTTGAAGGGCTGTTGGACAGAATTCTTGGTCTCTTATTCATAACTAAACAATGGAGTATAGCTTGATGTTTTTATTCTGTATTTGGTCATAAATCCTATGCATGTTTAAGGCTGGATAAAGGAGTTGGCTGCTGCTTGTTGCTGGAATGGAGAACTACAACTTTAAAAGTCCAATGGCTATGATGAGGAGCAGAGGAGGGCCTACAGGCTGGTTGGAGGGATTCCGGCGGCTGCAGAGAGGATTCCAACTGCCGGATGGCTATTGGAGAGGCTCAGGCGTCTATAGGAGTGAGCAGAGGAGGGCTTGCAGGCTGAAGGAAAGCTAGGGTTTGTTTCCTTGTTCTGATACCATGAAGAAAAATTTTTGGAGAGAATACTCATTTAATTCTCATGACCAATCTCAACCATAAGGTTACATATATAGGGAAACTAGTCTCTCCTAATGTACAATCTTACCATATGTATCTAGCCTAAAGAGGGAAATGAAATGATGTTGAAATAAACATAAACATGAAGATAATAAAAACTAATCAAGGAGTTTCTCAAATTGTTTCCAATTAATCCATTCATCACTCCTTGGATGGTCGACTTGAGCCCACCATAGTAAGGAGGCCGATCCTCCTAGATTTCCACAATTATGGCAGACCAGAGTAGTCTATAAAGATATTTCTAATAAGTGGATAACATTGGTTGTCACAAGGTAATAGGTAGAGCTAGGGTAAACTATTTTAGATTGCTTTGTTGGTTATCCTAAGTAGTTTGATCCCCAATCCATCTAGCTACATCACAATTCAATAAGCATGTTGACAATTGCAAAAAAATAAAATACAAGTGGTTTGTTTGAAGTTGAATTATAATATATTTGACAGAATTTTCAACTTAGATTAAAGCATGCGATTGTATTATAAGTTCAAAAAAGAAACATACTAATTTAGCTTCATTTTGGTAGCCATATTGAAAATAAGTTAATAAATGTCATACATATTATATCCAAATCATGTTAGTAAGCTTCATTAACAGATCATTACGTTACGAAAGCAAATCATATTGTATTGTTCTACACAAACGAAATATAAGATCAAATTAGTACATGCCAATATTCATTTATCAAGAGCAAGGAAACCCTAGTTTCCATGAAATAGTAAAGTTACTTACCAATACTAAATGCCCATGAAATTAGGTCTACTTAGTTCCTAATAACTCCAAAGGCTTTTAACACTAACTTAGAATTCCAAACAAACATTTGCATCATGGTAATGATTTTATAATCATTAGAACTCATAATTATAGCCACTCGATAACATACTTAATTAGTTATTCGTTAATATTCTAAATATTTGCAATTCACTACAAATTCCCAAAAAATTAAGAATATAATTGTAATCAGGGAATTAGCTCTGACCTCACACAATTTTAATGAATTTTGATGTTTAGTTCAATTCAGTCAAAAATCTCTAAAATTATGAATGGATTGGAGAAAACCCAATTCATCTCAAATTCATTAATATTAATTAAAAAGAATAGGTGCTGAGGCTTAAGACTATAGCACAGTTCTTCAAAATGGAGAAACCACACCCAAGCATCGAGTTGTGAGCCTCATTGCGTGCCTCTTTGAAAAGGCACTGAGAAGAACTATCTCAAGGTGCACCTCATATTGTGTAATTCAAATCAATGCATACAATTTTTTATTCGGTTAGAGAGCTAATAAAACAAAATCTTAGTTACCTTAATCGAGGATTACAGAATTTCTCAGGTAAGAAGATTGATTTTTTCACAGGAGTAGCATTTAAGCCTTTCAAAATTTCTCTTAACACCGTGTTGTAGGCCCGACAATATCCTGCTAATGACCATCATCCTTTGAGAGCGAGAGGGGTCCCAGAATCTCGTCTCACCATCATCTAGAGAGAGGCACCCCTCATCATCCAGAGAGTGTGAGCTCATCTGACCTCAACTCTTTGCTCATCTGTGTTCTCTATCCGAGCTTTTTGTGGACTGATTCAGCCACTAAAATTTTTTATTTACTTTATTTCATCTTATCTGGATACTACAGTTAACACCTCAACCTTCACCTACTAGCAAGAAATGTAGACTGAGGATTCGCAAAGTCAACCAAAAATAGTTGACATAAAGCTAATGATGATGATGACGGCATGAACATGTATTAACTGGGCTTTCTTACTTACATGAACTGATTTAAAGTTCATTTGTAGATTCCCGGATAAAAATTAGCCTCCTACTTTCTATTTTGTAACATAATATTTGGAACCAACTATTTTTCCTTTTAGAACTTGGATTGAGAAGAGGGGTATATCTCCTAATAGAAATCTATACCTGTCATATTTATGTCATTAGAAAGCTTACCCTATGACATTAGTGTCTTTATAAGTTTTCCATGGTAGTCTTTAGCTAGTTTAACCTTGGTCAACCGTCATATTTTTTTTTCTTCTCTCTTTAGAGTAAATCTATGGTCATTGTGCCAGCAATTTTTCAAGTTGGAGATGTTAGGAAGCAATGGGCAGAGAGTCTACTATACTGTTAAGATATGGATTCGTGGGGCTACTAGGTGATGTACGGTTCAATCAGCACACACTATAAAAGATCATTCTACGCAAATTTCTTAACTTATTAAGTGCTCAAAAGGTATCGAAAGCTTTGGGTAAACAAGGCTTACGTCACCTAGAAAGGGTGGGATCCAATGTGGTCTATTTTGAAGATGGTTTGAAGCATGAAATGGATTTTCAGACACGTCCATAGTTTCATTTGGAAAGGGTATATTTCTGGCTTGCGCATAGTTTGCTATGTGGACATTAAAGGCCCCTCTGGCTTATGCACCCTCCCCCTTGTTAGATAAAGCATAGATGAGTAAACGTCCCTGTCATTTATAATATGCCTGCACACAAATATTAAAGCATCCTAGGACATTAGATTAATTATTTCATCAGTTTAGAACATTTACAGGGTATCATGAGATTGTTAAGGACCTAATATGAGGATTTAGTCCCTTTAAGCGCACCATGCTCTAAAATTCGGTATTGGAGGAAGATAAATGCTCTTTGATGAGCTTTCAAAAGCTTTATACTATTATTAATGTAGTTGTGTGATCCTGCAGTTTTGGTTATGGCCACTTATCTTCAATTGTGTTTTTTATTGATGCAGATCACTCACATGGAGATGATAAAAGGAATTCAAGGACATGGTTACTTTGATGAGCTTGTGATTCCAATAATAGAGAACACTGCTCATGAGCGCGAGCTCACAAAATCACTAAGTGAAGCTGTACATTTCTTACCTTCACTTATATTTCTTCATCTTCAAATAAAAATGGATAAGTTAAAAGAAAATCAACCAGCTCAGATTTTTTGGATGGGCCGTCTTTTATATTGTTCTTGTAGATCCCATCTGAAAATAGCAACTGCTTTTGTGTCCTACCTATTCCTAATCATATATGGTGAGTTTTAAGAGCTTAATGGGCTTTGACATCATTGAGTAGAGTTTTCTATGTTATTACTTAAATTTCTTAAGAATTCCACCTTGAATTGTCATGCTTATTTGAATACTCTTGTCCCAAAAGCCATAGCTTCACCCACACTAGCCATTTTAGTTTTGATTGCGTAATAATTATTGCTTACATATTTCTGTAATTTGGCATATACTTTGGATAGAGTTATATTGTTTAAGTACGGGCTATTAGTGATGAAAATCTTTTGTGAAAAGGATTAAAATGGCCTTTCAACTATATGTGAGCGGTCCTTTTTTTTTTTAGATTATGTAAAACCCTCCATTTAGTTTTTAGACTCTTTAAATAAGAACCACAATAGTCTTGCCGTCTAAACTAATGGTCATTGAAGTTAACAGTGAAAAATATTGATATGTTAGGATTATATATTTTTTTTACTTCAATTATTTTTTTTGTACATGAGCTAATTTCGTGTATAATATGAGACTATGAGTAGATTAAGAACTTGCAAATTGCAGAATAGTTTGATTTTTTTTTATAATAATTCGTTTGACCTTTTTGTTAAGTTGATTCTTTTATGTTAGAAAAATTAAAATATTTTTTGTTACAATGGAATTTACATAAAAAAAAATGACAAAAAAATTATTTATTATAAATTTCAACTTGTCTATAATCTAGATGACTTCAATCTACTCCAGCGGCATACAAAGTTAGTTATTGTTAATGAATAATTATGGTAAGCAGGAAATTTGATTTATTAAAAAATTCAAGTAAAATTATATTTTTGAAAAAACCCTCATTTTTTGCTTGTTTTTCAATCTCTGTTTGTTTAGATGATAGGACTATTTTGGTCATTGTTTAAAGAGTTGGGGATTAAATCAAGCCATTTTAATACTTTTCTCAAAACCTAAAATATAGAACTAAAATACTAAAAAATATGGAGGCATCTAACTTTCGAGTTGGAGAGCCATTTTAATACTTTTCTCAAAATCTTAGAAATTGATGTGGTATATATATAAAATAGAAGAACGATCAACGACGAAGCGAAAAATAGAACGAGAAAATTTACACCATAAAACAGTAACACATCATAATACACAGATCTACGTAGTTCGACAAATTGCCTTCGTCCACGGAGTTGCAGAAGATTTTACTACTTGAGGAATTTACACCAGTCGATCGTCTCGACTTACAAAAGCGAACTCTTTCTCTCACTTCTTTTCTCTTGTCTCTCTACACCGAGATACATCGAAGAGGATAAACGTACAAGAGAAATAAACTCAATTTCTCTTCTGCCACATGCCACTAAGAAGAAGTCAAGGGAAAACAATCTTCTCCATCTTCTTTCTTCTTCCTTTTACCGCAAGGAACTATTGCTTGCACTTCTCTTCCACTGTCTCGTGGAAGCCCGAAGAACACAAAAAGTTTGTGCTCAGAAACTGAAGGAGTCATGTGATACCTTTCTTCTTCTTCCTTTTGCTGCGAGCCAACACCAAAAACCGCCGAAGAAGCTTTAGAGAGTGATACTCCTCTCGTTCGAACCACACGCACCGCACACATCGGAACTGCTGCCTGTTCGCGACTTAAAGAAGCGGAGGGTGGCGTAATTTCGCGAATCATAGGCGGGAGCAGTTTCCCTGTTCTCGGAAATGTGAGGCACGACGATTCGCAAACAGGAGCGAGAGCAGGAGCGGGATCGTGGTCGCGACAGAGCGGAAGCCGGAGTCGGGTTGGGCGTTCTTTGAACCGGGCTCCACACAACAAATCTCCCACTTGGAGACCAATACACAGACCATAATGTCTTCTTCCTCAAATGGATATCCTCCACTGGCGGCGTCACCTTTTTCTTCAAATATGAATCCTCCGCCTCTATAACTCAAAGCCCTTGTCTTGACACTAGAAGATCAACTGAAGCTGTGCACAAATTCAGTTTCTCAAGAGTAACACCTTTAGTCAACATATCAGCAGGGTTCACATAGCCTTGCACCTCCAAGTTATTTCCTAGGTTACCTTTATCTCTGGTTACAACTCCCACTGCATGTACAATATCTTGCCTCTGCTGAAAGTCTTTTTCAACAAGTCTAGCCTTATATCTCTTATTGTCATCAAACTCATCTTTACCCGGTACACTCACTTGTTGTGTAATGCCTTCTTCCCTAGTGAAAGTTTTGTCAGCTCCCACTTGCTTGAATTTTCATCTTGCAAGATTTCTTCACAGCTCTGTGGTTCTCCACCATCTGTCTGTGAAATAATAGAAATGAGTGTCCTGGACCCACTCTCATCTTCACTTCCATCATCAACAGAACTATGAACTGCCAGCAATAGTGCATATTGTACTTGTTTAGATGCCACATTTGCGCTATCATTCTCCATCTTATTGGGATTCCTGTAGTTCCTCTTTATGTGGTCAGCCTTGCCACAATTCTAGCAGATTGTCTGTTGACTAAACTTTGATTTTGATCTCCCTCTATTTGAGTTCTTGTCTTGTGATTTCGCTCTGAAATCAACATTCAGTGCCGAACTCGTACCTAAGATCTCGTCAGAATCATTTCTGTGCACCTCTTCAGCCAAAATAAAATCACAAATATCATCACATTTCAGTTTAGATTTACCTGCAGAACTGCTAACTATCATTCTCATGGCTTCCCACCTATTTGGCAATGAAACCAACAATATCAATGCACATATCTCATCATCAAAATCAATTTCAACAGACGATAATTGATTTGTGATAGTATTGAAATCATTCAGTTATTGAGCAACATAAACACCTTCCGTCATCTTCAAGTTGAATAATTTTTTCATCAAATACACATTGTTATTGTTATTCGCCGATGTTCGCCGATGACTTTTCATACATACTTAATAAGACTATCATGAGATCTGGAGTTGTCCTCTCCTTGACAACGCTGTGTGCAACAAATCTCAATAGGGTCAATCGAATAACCTCCAAAATTTATTGATCCAACAAATTCCATTTAGTCTCATCCATCCTTTCAGGTCTTTTCCCCAATAACGGAAGATGTAGTTTCTCCCATAGAGGTAGTCCTCATCTGCATCCTCCAATAACCAAAATATGACGTCAAATTTCTTCATCGCTGAAACTTTCACTTCATCTGCAATCATGATTATTCCTCAGATCTGAAACACAGCTCTGATACCAGTTGATGTGGTATATATATAAAATAGAAGAACAATTAACGACGAAGCGAAAAATAGAATGAAAAAATTCACACCAGAAAAATAGTAAAAACAGCAGAACACAGATTTACGTGGTTCGACAAATTGCCTACGTCCATGGAGTTGTAGAGGATTTTACTTCTTGAGAAATTTATACCAGTGGACCGTCTCGACTTACAATAGCGAACTCTTTCTCTCACTTCTCTTCTCTTTTCTCTCTACACCGAGATACACCGAAGAGGATAAACGTACAAGAGAAATAAACTCAATTTCTCTTCTGCCACAAGCCACCAATAAGAAGCTAAGGGAGAATAATCTTCTTCTTCTTCCTTCTTCCTTCTTCCTTCTTCCTTCTTCCTTCTACCGCAATGAACTACTGCTGGCAATTCTCTTCCACTGTCCCGTGGAAGCCCGAAGAAGAACACAAAAAACCCGTGCTTAGAAATTAAAGGAGAGTCGTGCGATACCTTATTTTTTTTTCCTGCTGAACCGCCGAAGAAGAAGCCTTGGAGAGCGATACTTCTCTCGCTCGAACCACACGCACCGCACACACCGAAACTGCTGCCTGTTTGCGACTTAAAGAAGCAAAGGGTGGCGTCATTATGCGAATCATAGGCGGGAGCTGTTTCTCTGTTCGCGAAAATGGGAGGCGCGACGATTCGCAAACGGGAGCGGGATCGTGGTCGCGACAGACCGGGAGCAGGATCGGGTTGGGCGTTCTTTGAACCGGGCTCCACACAACAAGAAATATGCTTATATGGGGGCATCAAACTTTCAAGTTCACTAGGGTTTTAAAGTGCACTGGCCTGGTCTCATGGTATTAAAATCTGGATAATTATGTGATTCATCTTTCACTTCATCTTCCTTTAAAGTTTAGCATTTAATGCGATATATCTTTGGCATTAGCATTGCATGAAAAAAAAAAAAAATACCACCATTTCCAATCTACCACCATTTCCAATCAAGCTCTTTGGCATTAGCATTGCATGAAAAAAAAAAAAAATACCACCATTTCCAATCAAGCTTGGTGAAGAAGATTGAGAGTAAAGGTAGTGAAGGTCGGATTGACTTCTATTTTATAGCCAACGATTGTAAAATCTATGAAATGAATCCTAAAATAATGGTCAACCTTTGGCAGTGTATGAATGTTGTTTTGCGGCAATTCCTCACTTTGATGGTACTTTCACAGATTTCAGCATACCCGAAGGCAGCAGCAGTGCTTGTGCAAAATCATGGGATATATGTCTGGGGAGATTCTTGGATTAGTGCCAAGACTCAGGTTTTGTAATTTTGTTTTTATTTTTTAACCTGAAACTTTAAGTTTAGTGCGTTCATCTTAATTAGTATTTGAAATTTACCTGAATATTTTTTTTGCTTCTGCAGGTTTGTTTGTTTCCAAATTATTTTCTATATTTTATATTTTTAGCCTTTTTTTTCGCGAGCATTTTTGGGATGTATAAATATGCTGGATCTCTTTTGTTTGCCAAATCTTTTTTGGTGCAGTCCTGATTGATATGTTCAATCTGTTGTCATCTTTAGCAAAACTTTATGAAGTAGATGCTCTACATATTTCTTTGTACATCTCAAATCTCAAGTGTAAGTTTGAGTACGCAAATCAAAATCCTAATTTCGTGAAGTAACTGAAAAGTATCGTCATCATCGTACTCTTATTTTCATATGACAGATGGGAAACATGTCTGAAATATATCGAGGGATGAATTAAGAGGACCAAATTTTTACCCAAGATTAAGTCCACTTATGTTAGATGCACAACTCGCATTCATGGTTAGGCCTGACCTTGTGGTTGACTGGAAGCCTAAGGAGACAAGGACAACAATGCAGTGCTTCCATTTGAAATCTTATTTATTTTTGATATTTTGTACATAATATAAATGATAATTTGTTTAGATTTAGACACACAAACACGCATCAATGTTTGGCTCATTTAAAAGCTCGTGTTCGAAGTATTCGATAAAACACAAGCGAACACAAACAAAAAACAATTCGAACACAAGTAAATTTCACGTTTTAGCTCAAAAGAACCAAATAATAGTAGGCACAATGGAGATACATGTAGTCGATCCCACTTAGTGGGTTAAAGGCTTGTTTTTGTTGTTATATCAAAGTTTAAATCATAACAACTTGTTTGGTCATGTGGTTCTTCGTCTTCTATTATACAAAATTGATGTATGGCCGAATCCAACATCATACATCTATTTTTCTAATTAGTTTAAATGAACCAATTTTGAGTTGAACATGAGTCATACTCGAACAAGTATATGCAAATCGAGCCGAACAAGATCACATTGTCTACGGGCAATTTCAAACACAACCCAATTTCAAATGAGCTAAACTCGAGCCAAGCCCGAGCTCACTCAAGCTTGGCTTGTTTACAACCATAGTCCCTGCTCAAGGGTTGTTTCAGGAGTGCTAACACTTTCCACCACTTCTAACAAGAGGTGTATGGTCGATGTCATGGATATTGCGGTTGAGAGTCTTTGAATCCACCACACTTTACAAAACAAGCATAGGCTTTTAATATATAGCTATATTAGATTTTCTTGTCACATTGAAACTGACGCGGGGCTTGTGGGTCCTGACCGGCTTGGGTAGAAGATTGGTGGGAGGCTCGATCGGATCGGCCAGGCCCCCCTCCTTGCTGGACTAGATCGGCCAGGCTCCCGCCGCCCTAATCTTCTCCAGAAATTATCCCTCCTTCCTAACCATCCCTTTCTACATAGGCTTCATTTAAAATTATTTCTTTTTCCATCCCCCCTTCTTTATTTCTTGTCCTTTCTTCTACTTGCCTAGTCTAGCTACTAATTTCCTTGTACTTCTAGTTGTTGTTGGCTGAAGAGTAATCAGTTTTTGGTTTACCTCTGATTTCTGTTGAGCCTCTAAGATGTTCCTCTTTTGAGGGTTGTATCTGACGACAAACGGTGCTTCGACTGTATCTCGCCCAATTTGATGACTATCTCTGTTCACCCCTTCCCACCCTACCGTCATTCTCCTTTCCAAGACGCCCAAACTGACCTGTCCTCCCCTGCTCTTCGCTAGTAAGCCGCAGGTCACTCTAGCCTTCCCCAGCAGCACCCGCTCCTTGCCGGTATCTCACTGTTGGTCGACAACGTCCTTCAACACTACCTTGCCAACCTTCCAACCAGTTGTTTGCCCAACTGGCTGCAAATCCAATCGATCTCTTACATCGACCGCCACACCTCCTCCCCGGGCACCACCAGCCGGCTGACTACCTTCCTGTGTCACCCTCATTCACCATCGACCACCCCTACATCCTTCAGCAAGTTGTCGACCCTCAGGTTTCTCACAGCAGCCCCCGTACTCCCGTCCCGATGCCTCCAGCCGATCGTCTGCTTTTCGGTCCCCTCCCAACAGACCACCAAGCATCTTTTCTCCACCTCTAGCCCATCTGACGACCTCACGCCATCACTCCAGCAACTCCTTCCATCAGCCAAGCCAACCACACCAGCTCGAGAGGGTCATTTTTGTCCCTTTGTTGTTTCTTTTGTTCTTATTTATGCACTTTTTATTGTTGTTTAATGTTTACATGTGCTATGTTGTTTTATGTTGAGGAGAGGTCCTCGTAGTCGTTTGAAGTCGGCAATAAAATGCGTCGTTTGAGTTGTAGTTTGGGTTAACTTCAGTATCAAAAACAAGGTGCATTATTACTTAATTTGTAAATTTTCTCAGCCATGTTGTAATAGTGTGCATGAGTACTTATGTTTGGTAGATTTTTCCGTCATGTTGGAACATGCACAATTTCGTAATATTTTCCTATAATTATACCTTTCACGTGCTTAGGAAGGGTTTAAGCGGGGAAATATTTGTGGAATAGCAAAGGATGGTGAATGTGGAAAATTGACAACATTTAGAAGGGGTATGAAGTGAAATCTGCTGTTGGACGACAGATTCAGGGTTGATCGACGACTACCCTGACTGAAAACAATGAGCTTAATGACTAAACAATGTGGTACGAAGGTCAAGAGGTTCACCACATACTTCTGCACGAGCTGCAAACACACCACTTGTAAAAGAAAAGTAATAAAACTCTCCTTAGGCCGATGTCAGAGATACAATTTTATAGCATAAACAAGTCAAAAGATTGAAAAAATAGAAAATAACAAAATATAAATAGTTCTATGATAAAAAATAACCCAACTATAAATATAGAAATAAGAATAAAATACATAAAAAATATGTTAAATTTTCAAAGTCTTTTGCCCTAACACCCTGTCTGAACTGATGATCATGGGAGCAATTTTGCGGTATTGCTGGATCATTCATCTTCGCAGTTACACTCCCGTGTCATTCTCTCGAACTAGGAGAGGGTTCTTCTTTTTTCCTGTAGGCTTCTGGAATTGATTTACCACCATAATAAATTCATTGCACTGCTATGGTGTAAGCAGTCACTACAAAATTTATGCTCATATCCATTTCATGAAACTCTAAAACATATATGTATTTCAAAGCATGTTCTTATAGAATAAATAATCATCCTACTTTGGCACAATCAAAGTTGGAGCTGCATCTGGGTTAGTAATGTCACGAACCAAGAATTTAACCATCAAGAGTGCCACTTCTCATTTTCTGCTGGTTGCATTCCATCGATGAGTTGGTTTGGCAGAAGCAATTTTGAAATGAGATCTATGACATGTTGAATCTCTCTAGGTAGTATCCATTCTGTAGAACTGTTAGTCAGGACGTCTGGTAACTCCCTCAATAGAGGTTGCCCCTTTTCTGATATGGACTCATTAGACTTACTATCTTCTAAGACAACTAATGCTAATTTGGAGTCTCTCTCACGGGCTCAACTCGAATCACTAGTATTTCACCATCGTCTACTGCACAGGATATTTCCCTTCGATGTCTTCATTCTCTTCTATACCAATGTCTATTTCTTCAACTGCTGGTGCTTAGTGAAATATATTATAACACTCTCCTATCTGATGCAATGTATCAAAAATCATGTGACATTAAAAACTTCCTAATTGAGACAAATTTGAGAGTGCTTCTTGGCTTCACCCATTCTCCACCCTGAATTATTTTTTTCTTAGCAGGGTTGGCTTGGATACTCCACTTGGTGTGCTCTTATTTTTTGACCTGGGGTTGAACTTTGCTTGTAAGGTGTGACAGTCATATAATGACCTTGTTGTTTCTCCATTTTCAAAACTAAGGTCTATACATCAAGTGGGGACCAGTATGGTTGCAGCTGCACCATATTACTGATAGACGATCTCAGCCCTCTTGGATTCCTCTTTACTGTGTGCTCCTGTAGTTTCACTAGCTCACTTTTCAACATGAATTAATCAAATTCAGTCATTTACTAATCCACAAAAGAATATCTCCGACACATTTGGTGGAGTTTTATGAATATATCATGCGTTAATATGGTGAAAGTCATTTATGTTGCATTTCTCTTTTCATTTTAGACTAAATAATGATTTTGCATTTTCACTCTTGTTGACGAAAACGCTTTAGGATCTCCCACCACAAGGAAACGTTCTTCTTGAGCTTGATGGCTATCAATTAACCTTTTTGTCTTGTAAACCTCTTAGTACTAAAAAAATTGTTCTACTATTTGGAGTAACTTGATAAACTCTTTTAGATCCATGCGACCCTCAAAATTTGATTTATCCTTGAAATCCCGTACAAACATCTTCAAACTCACATGCACCTTTCCTTTCTCATTCCACAATCACATCCTTGCTAAATCTCATTCCAAAATATCTTCTAAGAACCCTAAAACGGTATCAGTTTTGGTCACGAGTAAGACAGGAAGATTTGCTGGTTGGGAATGACGAACTCATAAAGATTTCGGTATTAGTTTCACTCTCAACTCTATGGTGGTTTGTGTGAGTTGAAAGTGAAAGCGACGTGAGATGAGGAATGCTTGAGATAGGGGTTGTTTGTGGGATGGGCTGCCTATCATGGACTTTGTGTGGGTTGCTCTTCTGAGGGAGAATTGTGGCGACGCAGTTTGTGCCGATATGGGGGGACGGAGGGGTAGAGAGAGAGAGAGAGAGAGAGTAGAAGGATGGTGAGCTATTGAGGATTTCAGTAGGAGTATGAACGAGAATTGGAGAACTTAGGTCTGGGCAGGGCCTGATGAGAAGAATGTCAGAATGAAGCTACTGCACGCAGGAGATAGTAGGAGGCCCAATGGAGAGGGATTGTGCGTCTCTATGCACCAAAGAAAAATAGAGAGCCAGCTTGAGATGGGAGCGGTGATTAGGTGTGTCATTGAGGTGGGAGAACGAGAGTGGAAAAGAGGGAGATGAGGCTAGAGAATTTACTTGCAAATGAGGTCTGAGGATTGAAATAGGTTGCTAGGGTGATGAGGGATTGCTTGGTAGTAGTAGCGTGAGAAAACAAGAGCCAAGGGAGTGCTAGATTGCCATTAGTTTTTTTTTTTACTATTATTTATATAGAAAGGAGTGATAAGATTGGAGGATTGGGTGCCTGAGTATGGGGAAATTAGATGAGTTGCATTGTATTATTTCCTCTTGAATTTTTGTTTCTTATGCATCTTGAGTTTTGCATGTCTCGATTTAAGAGTCATTGGATTTCGACAAGATTCATACAATATGGGTGTTATTTTCAAGTATTGTTTATGTCTCGAACGCGCTCGTGGATTTTGTTTTTTGAACGGAGTTTGTTTGAGTAAATTTGATATATTTCAAGGCAATCTGGGTCCAAATAATTCGCGTCATACTAAAAATCTATCATTTTCATCGTGCTTGATCATTTTAACTATAGAAGGTCACTTGGGTAGTTTTGATGCTCCAGATGAGTTCGTGTAGTCATTTTGCAAATGGAGGTTGTTTGGGCCACTTTGATGACGATCTAAAAAAATATAAAGTCAATCCGCACACCATCATATCCATGATTTGCACTTTCATCATTTTTTATCGAGGCCATTGTGAATGGTCCCTATAAATATTATAATTTAAATTAGTTTACATAGTTTAAAAATCTTTACTCATAAAATTATTTTTGTGTAGTATCCAAAACATCATATAGAAGTTTTATTAATTTTTACTAATTTCAATATACATGTTAAGATAAATAAAATGCTACACAACATAAAATACGTGCGAAAAAAAATTATTTGTTAACTTGACCAAAATAATTCAGTCTTTGACATAAAAATTAAATCAAAATTATGAAATCTCTGAAAATGACATAAAGGTTAACTGAAAATTTTAAAATCTCTGTAAATTTGAGTTTCTATGAAATCTAATTAAATAAAATAGCAAAATTTGACATAATAGTAATGGAATTAAACTATGAACTAGGGTAACAATCACTTACCTAAAGTTGGATTTTTTTTTTCATTTGGCCCTTTAGACAAAATTAGCTATAAGATATTTTAATCTCTATTTCCTCTCTCCACTCTCTCTTTCTTAGCCAAATGCGTTGAATTTTGGAAATTAAGTTCTATGAGTGGATTTTATAAGAATCATAAGATTTTATAATATGATATACTTAATTAATGATATAATGGTAATTATATGAAGTATTATTTTTTATTAATTTTTTTTTGTAAATTCTCCTATATCATTAAATATAAAACTTCAAAAATTATGAAGAATTATTCAATAAACTTGATATCATATTTAGAACAATTGGATACAATTGGTTTATAAAATAGACATTATATGATCAGAGAAAACCAACTTCACAGAAATGCTAATTTCTTAAAAGAAGTATAAAAAATTATTATTTTCATACTTATAATATTCATAAGATTAAATAAATAAACACATAAAATAAAGTATAGAATGATCTATAATCTGGTGAAGACGGTTCGTAAATCGCACATAAATATATCCAAATTTCAAATTTAATTGAATGCAGTATGTTTAGTTTTAATATATTAAATTCTCTTCAAATTCAGAACAACAACAACAAGCCTTTATCCCACTAGGTGGGGTTGGCTACATGAATCATTTTTCTTCATTGTTGAGTGAAATTCCCTTCAAATCAGAAGTATAAAAATACTGATGAATGTACCAGGTATAAATTCTACTCTTAAAATTTATATAAAATCTATAAACTTAAATAAGCATGTAAGCTTTGTAGATTCAAATCAGACCATTACAGGTAAATTCAAATATTGTCAAAAATGGTCATACAATTTTGACACACTACTATTTTATCCCTTAAAAAAACAATTTTCTAATATTTATCAATGAGGGCAAATGTTGAGAAAATATGGAATATGACTTCTAGCCTTAATTCTCTACTAGCAAGTAAGTTGAGCAATAATATCTCTCTTATGGCGAACATCATAAAAATGAAAGTGAAAAAGCTTGCGGGTGCCCTACCTATAGATCAATGTCATATGTTTCAACTTTTGGGCCTTTCTCAAGTATCTATGTGTGGCCTCTAATCCAAATGCAATCCATATTGCACACTAATCTTAGGGAAAATGAATTCAAATGTTATACATACACAAACCCTACCTTAGCATTGTCACCATAATGTTAAAACTAAAGTAAGCGTACAAGATGTGGTGTAAGCCTTGATCCATCATTATAGTATGATGAACAGTATGGGGAAAAAACTAGTCAGGGCATAAGAACATTGCCTGGGAGATTGTGCGATGTAAGAATAAAACAAACTTGACAATACATTGTTGTGTCACTGATCCTACTACCATTTTGTTTGGGTTGTTAATGTGGACATTGATGAGTCACTATAATTGTATAATTATTTTTGTTTAATAATGTGTACATGCTAATCTTATATATACTATAATTACTCAATAATCTTTAGTAAACTTTATGTTTTTTACTTTTATTTCTCACAATGGTTTTCAAGCTTATATATTGATCCTTCTACTAAAGGATTTCGGGCATTTGGGACTTGTCTAAACTATTTTTATGATTTGGTTTGGATGAACTGCTAGCATCGTGATCATAATTTTTTTTTTCCAGAAACTGGTTGTCCAATCCAATTTCTTCCTGTGAATTGTAGAAACAATTCAATCAATGAATTGAAACAGTATGGTTTCAGGACTTCCTGTCTGTTGGGAGGACTGCCTGTCTTTCTCAGTTTTAATAACCATGTTTTACGTTCATTTTGCTGCTGATTTTGTTGAGGGCATTTACCTGTCCAGTTTTTAGCATTTATAGTACAATAACCACTTAGGTTTGTTTTTCAATAAATGTATTTGCAGCTTTTTTCATTAAGCTTGCTTTACTGCCATTCTGCCTATAATACCTATAATTGTTCTGCACTAACCTGCCCTCTTTTTTTTATTATTTATTTTTTTATTTTACTTTCAGAAGTTTATGTCAGTGTTTTTAAACAACTTTATGTAGTTCTATAATTTTCCAGGCAGAATGTTATCATTATCTATTTGAAGCTGCGATCAAGCTCCATCAATTGGGTATTGACTGGGCAAGCCCAAGTCACGGTCTTATAAACAATAATGCAAATAAAATGGGTATAAATTTAGGTACTTCTGATATTTCTGAGAAAGCAGGACTTGCCAATGGTAGTCAAGCTCCAGAAAAACTGAGGGTACGTTACTGTGTTCATTGTTCATTATTTTTTTTAAGAGAGACGTTGGGTGATGGATACTTGAGATGTCTGTATTCAATATTAAATGATTTTCTCTGTTAGTTCAAAAATTTCAAATTGTCCATTTATTATCTCAAAACCTTTCCAAGGAAGTCTGTCGGTTTTTCATCTAAATGAAGCTGGGGATTTTAACTTGCAGTGGATGTCTTTTTACTGTTTTGCAGAAATGCATTGTACTTGATATTGAGGGTACAACTACACCAATATCCTTCGTTACTGAAGTACTTTTTCCTTATGCTCATGATAATGTGCGAAAACATTTGATGTCTACATATGATAGTGAGGAAACTCAAGATGACATTAAGCTATTGCGTGCACAAGTAAGAATTTAATTTCCTTGCATCGATTTGTCTATACTCTGTTTTATTTAATAGCTATAGCTCATAAAATATTTTGACCATTGCATCATAATCCATTTTATTTCTGAGGAAGACTTTTAAAGGTCAGAACATCTGCTTTTTTACTCACTTTATAAGTTGCCCCAAGTGGAACACAACAATTATTCTTATGTTCATAATTACTTTGATAAGTTTTGCGTCATATATGTGAACCACATTCATTCTTCCTGCCCTGTCGTTGCAATTTGTCATATGTTCGCTCTCCTTCGAGCCAACTTTGATTTAAAGGTTAAGGTTATTACCAGGTTAAAGACTCTTTAACATGCCACTCTTTATTCTCCTAAATGCCAAAATCAATTTGCTATTTTAGTACAGTGGTTGGATTTTAATGGAAATTTTTCTAGATATTTTGACTTATAAAGAAGTCACATTCTTCCTTGCTTTATGGTCCATGCTCGGTCTTAACCAAACTCTTTGCAATACTCCTGCCAATATCTCTCTTTAAGTTGTTATTAAGCATAGATTACACATTCATCTTTACATTTATAAATGACCAACCTTTGCTGTAAAATTTATTAGATGATAATCCTAATCTCTTTTAAGTGACACTATTATTCCTTCTTTGAAATTTAATTTTCCTCTCTTTCTCCCTTTCTTTGTTGTGCAAGTGTGTACCTATCTTCTGCATGATTTTGGATGTGACTCTCTCATGTCAAGTAGAGGTTTGAAGACTACTGTTATAATATTGCTTTGATGTGAACTCTGAACCTGCTACATTTACCTTCTGGTTCCCATGTTTCCTTTTGTTTTTCATGTGATAATTTCCTTTCACAAACTTAGATAAATTTTTAATTATGCTTGGGCTCCTCAATGGCGTTTGATAAATGGAGTTTTTGGAGTAGGAATTAGAAACAACTTATGCCACGTGGAGTGTAGGAGCACTCAATTGGCCGCACAAATAATTATATTTTCATTTACCATCTATCAATAATAGTTAATTACATTTCATGGATCTCTATTACACAAATAGTATTGCAGGGATAAGGCCAAACATTTGTAGACGAATCTAATCCTATTCAATCCTGTCAATCATTCAAATTAGACCTATTATTATACAAGATAGATATTAGTGGTTTACCAAATTATAACATGATTTGTTTTATTCTGTCAAAGACTTTTTAGCGTGGCCCATGCATTTTGAAAGGTATGTTCTTCTTCGCTTTGATAAATTTGATATTATCGGCCAAAACACATGTTTCCCTTGTAATGAATGAAGTTGATGAAGAATCCAGACGAGAACATCTTTATGATGGATCGGATTTTGGTAGGATATATATTGATTCCTCAGCGGTGTAAAACAAAATAAAAAATTTTTTCCAATGGATACTAGATGGCGCATGTGTGATGATTCATTTTAAAAGTATATTTTATGATTTGCTTAGATGTGATGTTGTGATGCTCTGAGCAAGCCTTCATTATGACATTACCAACATAGCTTTCTACTTTATAGTGAACTCTCATAAAAGTGTGCCTTTGATTTACAGTCTCATTGTTTTTGAAGTTGGAAGGCTTGCTGTTCAGTGTATGAGAATATGCTAATGGGGCTTTAAAAGAATGTATGCTTTTTGTTTTCTAAACCCTCATAATTTAATTTTAACCCGGTAATCTGTTCATGAACAAGTACATGTCATGATTTGAGGTTTTGTCAACTTGCAACTATAAATTGGGAAGTTATAACTAGCAACTTGTTGGATCCTTTTTTTTTTTTATACCAAACTCAAAATAGAACTGAAATGTCTCGGATGCACATGACTTTAGTTTTTTTTCTTTGCCCATGATTTATGTTTGCTATTTTGTTTTGAATTGACATTTTACTCTTCATATTTACGGTGTCTGAATCTGGAAGCATATTCTATGTAGGTTCTGGATGATTTGGATAAAGGAGTTCCAGGCTATGTACCCATTCTACCCTATGGAGCTGGGAAAGAGCAAGTGATTGATTGCGTAGTAACCAATGTTGAGGAAATGATAAAAGCTGACCGAAAACTTACAGCATTGAAACAGTTGCAGGTAATCAAACTGAACATGCTTAGATGCTTATGATGGGAGCTTTAACGCACAGCAATTTTAGACTAGTTTTATATGCTTTACAAGCAGGGACATATATGGAGAACCGGCTTTGAAAATAAGCAACTGCAAGGTGTTCTCTTTGATGATGTTCCTGATGCTCTTAAAAGGTGGCACAGGAATGGCATCAAGGTATGGTCCAAATAATTTCTCAGATATTTTAGCCTTCTGATAGGGATCTAGAAGTGAATTTCTATGAAATTAGGAGCATCTATCGGGTGACATGGGTTGGCTTTGGTTCGGCCCTTTAGTGGCAGACCCATTCTACTGTACCTGAAACTGTCATTTTTGATAAACAAGCAATGTATCTTTATGGGGGAAAAAATTCAGCGTGGTATTTTTTAAATTGGGAGGGGTGGTGGTAGATTTACATACACAGCACCCAAAACTGTTAAATATCCATAGCTCCTGCCAGAAATTTATTATTACTTATATAACACCTAAACATTAAAATCAAATAAAAAATAGCACCTTTCCTTAAATCCTTGAACTCCGCATTTCTGTCATGCCCACAAGCATATCTCCTTGTTTCGCACCTCTTCCAGTTGGTAGCGGAGGTAGCTTTTATCTCTCCACTTCTCTGTCTCAAGAGCCAACATGTAAATTGAGCTCATTCTCTACACTTCTTCTCTCACAAATCTTACCCACTCAGCCCACCTCGGCTTTCATCAAATAGCGATTCCATAACAAAGAAGAGCTATTAAATATCCTCTTTGTTATGGAAAGTATTAATTCTAATGGTTGTATATTAGGTATTTGTATGTTAGGAAGCTTTATATTATAACCTAACTAGATGAGATCTAGTTACGAGATTTTTTTCTATTTTAGATATATTCATAATCTATAGAAAGAAGAGTGTATATAAATATGTAACATATGATATCAATTGTGGAATAAGAAAATAAGTTTTTCACTTCACATGGTATCAAAGTTCCACTTCTGGCTCGATCGTTTGTTTGGCGTTGTATGCATCATATGGATCTGCTGACCTCATTTTTAGTGAGGTCTTAGTCTCCTACTCCCATAACCCAAAATCTAGCCTTAGAAATTCTTGTTGACCATCCTAGCGAACTAGTAATGGAACCCACCTCCGTAGAACTTCAAACCGCATCTTTACTCATTTTTGTGAAGAACTCGCATGAGTGGTTCCAAACACTCAACTTCGGTCCCAAATCCTCGACATTTCGTTGAGTTGATTAGGATCGGCACATGAAACTTGACTCGAGTTCCTACATTAATAGGAGCAGCCCCTAGGGAACCTCCTTTGCGACCCGAATGCTCGATAAAGCCGCATTTTGCACACGATTTTAGCTTAAATTGACTCGTTTGTCGGTGAACTCATCCGAACGACCCTGGATGACGAAACGGACCGCGCCGACGCGTCCGGAACGTCAATTTTAGCTGGAAAAGACAGACACCCATATTTGGTTTCACACTCGCGCGAACTGCACGAAAATTGATGCACATTTTTTTTTAATTAGCGGGGCACGGGTTTGGGTTCAGCCCAGGCTTAATTCGAGCTCGACACAGGCTGAACACAAGCCAGGATTATTTCAAATTTCAAATTTTTAAAATTCAAATTTTATCTCCTAATTTCATCTTAATTAGGTTTGATTAGGAGGTATTTTTTTACCTAATATAACTGCCCCTATATGGAAGACATTCAATCGCCCGCTCCATGCACTTGTAACGGCATTAGAGAGGCGCAGGATACAAATCCTGCTGGATTTCTTTTCGGCAGGGATATATTTTTCTGAGTTCGCACTTTCCTCCTCTCGCTCGCCGCTACTCTTCGACAGAAACCCTGTCGGCTTCTTCTCTTCCCCACGCCAAACAACCGCTCCGTTCGAACTCGCCCTCCTCGCGCCTACTTCATCGCTACGCTCTCGAGAGATCCCACTCGCCTGATCCTCAGCTCCCCTTTGGGATCTTCTCGCTTGCCTCTCCTATCTGCAAGAGACCGCCCGATCCTATTTCTCGCTACCTCGTTCGGCTTCCTCACGCAGAAGAAGCCCGCTCGCGACTAAAACTCCTCTCCCGCTCGTGACCGAACCTCTCCTCCTCGTCGAACAGGCCGAAGCCTGCTCCTCTGCTCCTCTGCTCGATCGAAAGACCTCTCTCTCGATCGCGATCGAGGCATCTAAGCTCGCCCTCTCCTCTCGGGTTCGGTTCGACCGGGGACCTCTGTTCGGCTTCTTCCGCTCGAGTTCAGACGCTGCTCTTCCTCCCGCTCACGCCCCGGTCCTAACCTTAGACGCTGCTCTTCTTCCCCGCTCACGCCCCATCTTACGGCGAACTTCGGCCAGGTAACTCGGTGCCCTATTTTTCCCCCTTCGCATACGGGCAAGACAAAATAAAAAAAATAATAATAATAAATTGTTTCAAATTTCCTGTTATTTTCAGTCATCATCAAGTTAAGAATATATTGTGATTCTCTATAGTTTATGTGTTTGCTATGCTCAAATGAGATAATTAAGCTGATGCATTCAATCTCTTTCACAAGTAATGGCGTTTAAACATGACTTCATGCTTTAACATCTACTTTATACTAATAGTATATATATATATTGGTTGTCCACCATATTATTATATGTGAAGGTTAAATCTTGAATTACGATTCGTTAACTTAGAGGGTGAGATTAACTTTACATTTATCCACCTTTACCAAATGATTGAGAAAGTAGAATTCGGGGGTACTAAGTTTTGCTGTGAAACAAAATATTTATGAATGGGCAACAAATTTATTTGCAGAGAATTCACAATTGCTCACTGTTTGTTTATCACCTTCATCTGAAATTATGAATATATTTTGAAGTATTCAGCGAACCAGATGTTTATATCGTAGTTCTTGATTTGGAAAGTATTTATAAACATACCAGTCACAACTTATGTGTTCATATCGAATACCTGAATTCTAATCTTTGTTGCATACATATATTATCTTACCTATATTTGGAATTCATGTGCAAGCCTTTATGCAGATTTCATCCATGAAATGATTTCATTTAAAAAAAAAACATATGATTTTTTTTTTAATGTCATTTCTATTGAAATTCCTATTCAAATATTGATGGAAATATAAAGTTTTGATGCTCTCGTCTGGAACAGTTTGAAAGTTTTAAAGTTTGTCATCGCGAAAATATGAAAAATTTGAACAATCTTATTTATGAAGATTTTAGAGACTTACAAATGCTGTTTTGAAACAATTTACGTACTGTTTTGATGTCTTTAAATGCAAATTTTGTGTCTCATTTAAATGCTGATTTTTGGAGGACTTTACTTGCTGTTTGAATGTTGTTTGGAAGACAATTAAATGATGTTTTGGGGTCTGTTTTGGGACTGGAGTTGGAGAGCTTTATTCACTATTTCAGGACTGATTTTGATAGTTCTATTTACTGTTTTGGGGCTGGAGTTGGAGAGCTTTTTTCACTATTTCGAGACTGATTTTGATAGTTCTATTACTGTTTTGGGGTTGGAGTTGGAGAGCTTTATTCACTATTTCGGGGCTGATTTTGATAATTCTATTTACTGTTTTGGGTTTTATTTAATTATCATTCAAACGTTTTTCATAGTTCGATTCATTTGAGGTCGATTCATCTGTTGTTTTCCCCCTTTCGGCTTTGCTAGTTTTAGAGGTGGGTCGACCTCTTTCTTATTTTGTTTTATTTATTTTTAAATGATCAAGTCAATGTTAAGTCATAAAGATGAGAATTGATGATTTAATTAATTAAAAGATATAGAAAACTTTAAATCACCTTAAGCATAAGTTAAAGTGTAGGTTTCCTAGAACTTTAAGTGCACACCTTAGGTGAGAGTCTATCCACCTAGTCGGTTTAGGCTTCCTACATTTTAGAAGCACACCCACCAAATCAATGAAAAAAGTGATCAAATCAATGATTAGAGATACGAGTTTCCTAGACTTTAGGAGCACACTTTAGGTGAGAGCCCATCTACCTAATCTCTGTAGTGTAACCTCTTAAGATTTTAGGAGCATACGTTAGGTAAGAGTCTATTCACATAATCCTCGAATGCACAGTGAAACTAGACACTTGACCCTAATTCACAAACTGACTAAGACATTAGACATGATGCATCGAGACGTGACCCATGCTTCCTTAATTAGATCAACAGTGAAATTCCTTCAATGACTTAACCTACAATGAAACCCAGTGCATCGGGATTTGAGCTTGAATATTACACTCAAATCCTCCTGACAATTGGGGAAATTTGTTAACGCCACATATGGATCATCGGACTAGGATAAGTCTAGGGTCTAGGTGGCGAGGGCGATGACGACATTGCTCATGTGTGCTTAAACGAGGGATACGAGGTTAGACATAATCCTCGAATGCACAGTGAAACTAGACACTTGACCCTAATTCACAAACTGACTAAGACATTAGACATGATGCATCGAGACGTGACCCATGCTTCCTTAATTAGATCAACAGTGAAATTCCCTCAATGACTTAACCTACAATGAAACCCAGTGCATCGGGATTTGAGCTTGAATATTACACTCAAATTCTCCTGGCAATTGGGGAAATTTCTTAACGCCGCATATGGATCATCGGACTGGGATAAGTCTAGGGTCTAGGTGGCGAGGGCGATGACGACATTGCTCATGTGTGCTTAAACGAGGGATACGAGGTTAGATTATTAGAATAGTATCTCTTACCTCAAGGATTTTCAATAAGGGAGAGGGAAGGACCCATGATACTATTCGCCGATTCTTGGTGGGATCGTTGCCCCCGACACTCTTAAGTTGTCAGTAATTCTAGCACGATTAGAGTGACTAACCTGTGGACTATATGACTTTACAAAAATATTTACAAAAATAAAATAAAATTTTTTTTTTGCATGATTAAAAGAACTATGCATAAAAAAGTTTATAAAAGTCCACGGCTAGTCATTTGGATTGAGGTTAAGAACCACTTTCTGTAGATTGTTGAGCCGGTAACTCCTGTTCAAGGTCGGGAAGCACACAACCCAGCTCTGAGCCCCCACTTTCACCAAGGTCTTATACCCAGTCCTGATCTTTCATATGTGGCTAAGTGTTTCGTTTGCTTGTGATTTATACGACTCGTTTTTTTGACTTTCGTGCTGAGTTTTCTTGTCTTGTTTAAGTTTAC